CAAAACTGCAGAAGATCCAGGCCTGGCACATTTGGGAATGCTTTGGGGGCATTGTTGATAAAACACCAAAGTGTCTTAGGAAGAATATTGTGCAAGTGAAGACCGGGATCCACATTCCTATGTGGGAGAGCACAGCGAAGGCTGGCTAGGGCCCTGTGGGGCCCAGGAAGAGTCTACTGATTCCTCACCTGCAGGACACAGTGGGATCAGACTGGGGGCCCCCTGGTGTGCACGCAGGGTTTTAGAAGTCTGGTTTTCTGAACCTAGGGCTGCCAGCCTTCACAGCCCTAGCTACTCAAAGCGTGGCCTTCCACCCAGTGCATCAGAGAGCTCGTCCACGTCTGCATGGCTTAACTGGAGTCTGCAGGACCAGAAGCCTTCACCTCCCTGGGGGCTCATGGGGAGTTCAGATCTCAGGCTCTTCCTGAAGATCTGATGGACAGGAACCTGTATCATCGTCATCGTCATCATCATCATCATCATCATCATCACTGTTATTATTATCTGCCCTTTAATAAGATCTCTAGGAGATTTGTCTGCACGTTAAAATTTGAGAAGCGCTGCCACATTTACAGTTCTCTAGGGCGCTTTAACAAAATGCTACAAACTTGACCGCTTAAAACAATTAATTCCCTCATGGGTCTGGGGGCCAGAGGTCCAGAATCAGAGCTTCCACAGACGTGGTTCCTTCCGAGGACCCTGAGGGAGACTGTGTTGCAGGACGGTCTCCTGCCCTCCGTGGCTGCAGGGGACCCTTGGCACCCCTTGGCTTCTAGATGGATCACGCCAGTCTCTGTCCCCATCGTGACTGGGCCCCCATTTTTCTCTCCTTGTAAGGACACCGTCCTACTGAACCAAGGACCCACTGTGTTCCAGCAGGACCTCATCCTAACTCATCACATCTGGAACGACCCTATTTCCGGATAAGGGCGCATTCTCAGGTACCAGGGGTTAGGACTTGAACCCATTATTTTTGGGGGGGACAGACACAATTCAACATGCAACAAACTACCTTCAAAGTCTGCCATTCTTAAATACTGGGAGACGAGCTGGTTAAGAAATATCTGGAATATCTCGGTAAATTCATTTTTGTGAACAATATGGAAGTTCAGAAAGGAGTGGGTGGGCCTGGAATAAGACGGTTTTTGTAAAGGGATTCTTGTGTCCAGACAGCACATCCCAGAAGCATCCTCAGCTGGCCTCAGAGCAAGGTCACCACAGGAACAATCTGGGAATCTTTCCCATCTTGGCTGCCCAATTGGGGGAACTAATCTCACTCTCAGGGGTTCCACTGGGATTGGCCTGAAGTATTGCCTAGGCATCAAAATTCTGAACCAAGTCCCAGTGCTTCTAATCTGCAACCAAATTTGAAATCGAATGGGATAGATAGTCTCATTTCCTCTATATTCCAAAGAAGGAGACTCCCAAATATATATTAGACTCTCAATTATAGTACAAAATATCGAATATGAGCACATACAGATCACTAAATAGTATTTTTTTTTTACAGTTCTTGAGTGTGAGAAGAACAAGAATGTCTATATCTAGCATCATTCTCAAAAATATCCCATGATGGTGGATTTTGCTTAATTCTCCTGAAATCTCATCAATTTTTAAGTCCTATTCAGCATACTTTTATTTGGTTCTGATGAACCCGATTATTATTTCTTCTCAGTAAATAAACCCCTTATCATGACATATTACTTTCTTTCCCCTAGTAATTCATTTCACCTGGAAGTCTATTTCCCCCAATATTCATGTAGCTGCATTAGCTAGCTTTCTTTTTGCCTAGTAGTTAAGTGAGGTATTTTCTCTGTTCTTTAACTTTCAAGTTTTCTGTAATCTTACATATTAAATTAATCCATTGTATAGAATGGAGTCAGATTTTTAAAAAAATTTCCATGGAAACCTCATTCTTTAATTTGATCATTTAGTTCATTTATATTTAATGTAATTATTAATGTACACTGGTGACCAAAATATTTTAAATACTCCTCTGCAGGGGTTGCAGTTCTCACAAGTGACCATGAGAGGGCGACTCCAGGAGATGCAGAGATACTCATAAGCCTAGAAGAAACTTGGGGAATCAGGTATTTGCTTTCTGGGGTTCTCTACTGCCTTTGAGGACAGGGCTCCCCTACGAGTTCTGGACAAGAAAGGAGCAAGGGTATGGAATTTGGAAACAGGACTATGGTAAATTAGGGGACACCGCTGTTCCATGGCTATGCCTGTTGGTGGGGTGAGGGCAGTGGAAGATACCCAAAGGAGAGACCATTTACCAGCTTATATAAAAAACTGACATTTTAATAACTAGTCCTGCTGGATGAAAAGTTCAGAACATCATTCCAGCTGATAAGTTTGTGCCTAAGCCAACTCTCTTTTATTGCATTACATATTTGTAACATTTTTCTGTGTTGGTTTTGAAACACTACATCCTATTTCTATTTCTAAATAATTACGATAAAATGATGTCATGCGTCTTTAAATTTGCATCAAAGCCTATTATTAATCAACACATTGACGTTCTTCCCTGACAATAGAAGGGTCTCGGTAAACCTGAATTCCTTCCACCCTCCCGGTCTCCTTTAACTCAGTGTTGTGTATTTTAACCTTTCATGTTTCTCAGATTCATAAGATCTTCCTGTTATTGTCCTTTGGAAGCATGGTTTTTAAACATTTTCCACCTCTTCACATCCTCTTATAGTTCTATGCTACCCGAGGGTCATTTTCCTTTGGCCTGAAGCACATACTTTAGAGTGACCGTAGCGTGGGTCTCCTTTTGGTCTGTGAATGTTTGTATTTTGTCATTATTCATAAAAGACGTTTTCCTGAGGACAGAGTTAATTTCTTTAAACACACTGAAGGTAAGTTGACTGTGGCCTTCAGAAGTTCTCTGTCATACAATACAAGAAATATTTTTTCTGCTGACTACCATTAAGGTATTTTTCTCTATCTTTCCAAAGTTAGTTACATTGTTGTTCTAAAAGTACACACCATGAAATGGAATTCTTTTAAAAAATGTTAATGGTGCATTCTAATCATACCTCACCACGGGATTCATTTTGCCGATTTCGTACGTGCACATAACAGAACCTGACCCATCTCGTCTCCCACTGTCTGTGAGCTTCTGCTTGGGAAGTTTGGAATCTTTCTGAAAGAACCATTTCCTGGAAAGCTGCCTCTGTTCTATTCTTTTTCTGAGACTGTGATTAAACGGCGGTTTTATCTTTTCCTGGGATTTCGCCATCTCTTCTGCATTTCCAATCTTTTTCTCTTTGTGCCTGTTTCAGGATAATTTTTTTCAGCTGTGTTTAACACAACACACCAGTAATTTGGGTTATTATAGTCTTTTTTCATTTCTGGAAGTTCTGTTGGTTTCTTGTTAAACCGGTGGTCACTTTAATGCTCGCTCTTTCCAGCCGATATTTCCAAGCCCGATCAGATATTTTCTGCCTATCATCTATTTTTTTTTCTTTTATTAATCTGTGTCTGACAATCCAGTATCTGGTGTCTCTGAGGTTGCGTTTCTATGGTCCCTTGTTTCATTTTTTCTATTTCGTGGCACCCGTGCCTGGTTACCTTTGACTGTGTGCTGACTGTGGTATCAAGTCAAGGATGAAGGGGTCCTCCCCCCACCTAGGACTTGCTTTGACCTCTCGGTGTCTGCGATCACCATGAACCAACTTTAACTTCTGGAAGGTCCAGGCGATTCAAACTGCAGTTCAACTCACGATTACTTTGAGGGCTCATCTACTTATGATCCCTGCGTTCACTTTGAAGATGGGGTCCTTCGGGGTCTTAGCTTCTTGTGGGGAGGGTCTGTCATTACAGTCCATGCTACGGGTGGCCCTGGGTGTTGGTTTCCGTCTCCCTTTTCCTCCCTAGGCTGTCACATCTCGCTGAAAAATTGACTTGACTTAACAACTACACTCAGAAGACAGCTGATTTTATGAACTCATTTATCTCCCTGGGTTTCCATCGTTTTATCATTTCTTTTTGGTCATTCTTATTGTTGGGCCAGCCCCTTGAAGGGCTGTAAACTATAATTACTGAAAACTGGTTTTAAGTTGTTTTCAGTGGAAAAGTCGGTTCAAATAATCTAGCCCACCATTATTGGAAGTCTTTCTTGGCACCACAGTAGGTGCTCAATAAATGATGGAGAATGATCACAATTTCCCAAGCAAGCACCGCTCTTTGGGTTATTTGTAGAGGCTCTTTCCTACTCTTGGAACGCATTCCTCATTTCCCGATCCCCAGCCTGAGACACTCACGTCCTAACATTTGACGAGACCTGGAACAAATGCCACCTTCCCCCCAGAGTGTTTCCGGTCTCCCCGCTTCCCCGGATCTGATGCTGTGTCTTGCCTCCTCAAGCCCGCACACAACCTGGAAGGCGCCATTCTCTGGGGACTTCACTAGAGAGCACCGTATTTGTACACGGACTCATCTCTCCGGTGGATTTCGACTTCCTTGTCATTTCTGGCTTCTGAAGAATTCCCTCATTTCCTCTCCGTCTCGGCATACAGAACAAATAGACTTCTGGAAACTATTACGGCCAGTCCTGTTCAGACCTGGAGGGGACCTCTGAGCATTCCGTCTGCGGTGCTGCTGGAAGCAGGATCCCATGCATCCCCAACACCCTTAAAGTGAAGGGGTTGGTCGCCCTCCCACCCCCGAGACTGGGCACACTCCAGCGTCCTCTGACTTGAGTGTGGCTGTCGCTGTGCTGCAGATGGGACCTGAGATTCAGAGACACTATAAATATATCTGACAGAACAGAGTCACAAAGCTGGAAACGGAACCCATGGCGTTCCACTCCCAGCCTGCGACTCGATCCTGGACCTCACAGGTGCTCCCCAGGTGCTCTGTGCCATTAGTCAAAGCACCTCTTTGGACACAGACCTTCTGCATGGAAGAGGACAGTTGGTGGGGAGTCAGGTGGCGGCAGGAGGTACAGCAGGCGATGGGAGGTGTCCCGTGTGCACCTCTGTCTTGCTTACCTCACGACTTTGGTCCCGTTTCTCACGACTTGCATGTCCACCATGCAGCCCCCCGTGACGTAGGCAGCCAGGTTCAGCTCCGAGAACTCTGCCTGAGGGAGAGAGCAAACAGAAGAGAACCCACTGAGTCCCGATGCTGCGCAGCTGCCCAGCGCCCTGGGGGTGGGGTGGGGTATTGGTGGGAAATGCGTATTAAGCTCCAGCTCAGCCTTAGCAAAGCTGCCTCCAGCTTCACTTCTGAAAGATGAGGAAGCTGAGCTGCACAGTGTCCTGGTGACACGCTCACGATCGATCACACGGCGAACCAAAGGCAGAATGGGACCCAAACCTGTGAGCCTCTGATTCAGAGACCCATGATTTCAACCACTATCATTTCTGCCTCCTCGAAGGGAGAAGAGGCCACTGAAGCTCTGGGACCAGGAAATGACCAAATGCTGTGAATGGGCCAGTTTTGGCTGGACTTCTTCTGGCTCATGCTGCACAGGGGTGCTGGGTCACAGATCCATGATAACTTATCTCTGGTCACAGAACCTTCCTCAAGTTATTTGCCTGCTGTCCCTTTCTTGGTAATGACCCTCTCACCTCCACCCACATGGCTCTGTGCCTGTGCACTGACATGCTGCCATTTTGGCCACGGTGGGTGGGTGGGCATCCGACCCAGGGTGGAGGAATCAGATGGTCCTCCCTGAGAACTTGAAAGTGCTGAGTGCTCCACACAGGTTCTTTCTAGGTGGTTGTCTCTTTACTGTGCAAACCTGGGTGCTATTTAAGACCATGTTTCCTGCTGGCTGCAAACGGAGAACAATAGGAAACCACAATGGAGTGTGGAAGAAAAGAGAGAGAGAGAGAGAGAGAGAGAGAGAGAGAGAGATCACTGTCACCAAGATAGGGAGAAAGACGCAGGGGCAGGAGATGGGGAATCCTGTTGACCTTCATGGACCAGCGATGGTCCTGCCTCTGGATTTGCAGTTCCATCCTTTTGCGTACTTATTTGTTTGAGCAAACATTAGTGAGCATCTGTTGCTCTCAATCAGAATCCATGGAATTTATTCCTCTGACCACAACACATGCCCCTGAGATGGAGATTCATTGTGACAATCAGCTGTATGTTTTGTAAGGTTGCTGTAAGGAAGTACCACCACTGGTTCACTTAAACAGCAAAAATTCATTGTGTATAGGTCTGGAAGCTAGAAGTTCAAAGTCAAGGTGCTGGTAGGGTTGGTTTCTTCTGAGGGCTTGTGAAGGAAGGATTTATGCCAGACCTCTTTCCTTGGCTTGTAAGAGAACCATCTTTCCCCTTTGTCTCTTCATGTCATCTTCCTATGCATGTCCTTGTGAACCTCTTTTAAGGATGTCAGTCACACAGGTACACTCTCATTTTTAAGGATGTCAGTCACACAGGTA